AGTGCAATGCTGTTTCTATATATATATATATATAGTGCTGTCAAATGATTAATTGCGATTAATCGCATCCAAAATAAGTTTTCGTTTGCATAATATATGTGTGTGTTCTGTGTATATTTATGTATATATAAATACACACACATACAGTATACATTTAGAACATGTTTGCATGTATTTACCGTCTATATTCGTATAATTTATATTATAAATAAATGTATTTAATATATTATAATAATAAAAAATTCTGAAATATACACATGCATGTGTGTGTATTTATATATACATAATAGATATACACAGTACACACACCAGGGCTCACCAAATCGCCAGCTCGACGTCCCGGGGCTATTATTGTGTTTCCAGTCGGCTACCAAATGTTTCAGCCCTCTGCCGACGGGCTCTTAAATACAGATCTCCCTTAACTAGTCCTTAAACACTCCTACAGTGAGCTGTATCAAACTTAAGGCCATAAAAAGTTTTAAGTGCGTTAAATGGTATAAGAAATGTCTTAATTATAATTTCAAGAGGTTTTTTTGCGATACAGCTGGATTAAACTTCAAAAGGCAATGATGTCAGTGAATAAATATGAGCGCTGCAGGTTTCAAGTCAAAACGCAGCGCAGATGTCTTTATTTTAATGTATCTGAAAAGAACCGACTGTCCTCAGAAACGTGTAAAGCAGCGTTTATGAGCGGAGCTGCTGTGTGTGCAGCCGGTACCGTGGAAACCGCGATATTTCAGCTCCTGAAGCGCCACCTCGTGGCAGAGAATGGTTCTGCATTTCCAACAAACCTTTCTTTGTGATTATGGTCAGATCAATGCAAATATCAACTCGTGTTTTTACTCAGCAAACACATAGAGTTGTAAATGATTAAGAAATTAATGTGCCTTCTAAAAATCTAAACAATTAAGACTACGTTTTAAATTGACAGTTTATATGCTTGATTTATCCCTTGTCATAAAAATGGTCTAAAGGCTGAAATGCTGTTGTATAAGATTTTTGTTTTTGTGAAAACCTGCATCTGAACTGTAAATCATATGACTGTATGGCTCAGTACTGTATGTTATCACAGACATTGTTCAATCCCACTCATACTGTGTTCATTTGACTTCTGCAGCTCTTAAAATGCGTCATAAATCGCCTTAAATTAATTTTTTTTTAATTTTGCAGATACCCTGTAAATAGTGAAATAAAATTCCTTCCTTCTTATTTGTTGATATTTGTGTATTGAACATATGTTTGATTGACATTTAAACTCCTATCTGATTTTCTATATTTATAAAAAAAATAAATAAAAGGTCTTTTTTTATTTGGGCAAGTTAAATTAATTTTCGGGCTACCAAAATCTGAAGAGTACCTGCTCGAAGGGCTGCCAGGGATTTAGACATTTTGCGAGCCCTGCATACATATATTATGAAAACAAAAACACTATGATGTATATATAATGACACTAACAAGAAAACCTAATAATTAATTTATTTGTTCATTTATTTACTTTATTGAACAAAGCCGCTGATATAAAAAGATTAAAACTTTTTTACAGGTGTGTCTTTGCCAAGATTGGCAGGAAAATACTATATACACAAAACAATGAACACGCGCATTAAACAACATCAAAAACATCTACAATAATAGAATTAATTCAGTTGAGTAGTTTCCCTTTAAAATCCCTGCATTCATCTCTAGTGTTTGTGACTTTAACTCCGGTTTTTTTCTTTCTTTTGCTTTAACTGTGATCGTCTTTGGTCTCTAGTTTCTCGCTCCACTCCATCAGCATCTGTAGTGCTTTACTGACATGTTCCTGCAGGTTCGAGTCATGTGGGAAAGATCTTATGTATGGGTTAGATGCACATGAGCAGGAAGCTCGGGGTTCTTTTAAACCTGGTTTAGTGAGAAAGCATCGCGGACGCAAGAGACGCAGCGTCTGTATTAATGGTACATTTGATAGAATTTCAAAAGGATGTTTAACTATATTTACAATAAGATAGGCTACTGTGCAAGAACACAGTGAATAAATTCACAGCATTCGATTCTTTATTCATTATTTTGTAGATGTTACAAAATCGTTTTGAATTTAACGCAGAAAAAGATGCATGCCCAATCAAATTCAACACACTCTTGCCGGAGCCCGGTCTCATGAAAATGCGTATAAATAGTACGCCAAATAAAAACGAAAACTCGTGGTATTGATACACAAAAATGGACGTTGGCGTGCATATAATACGCATGTGTTTGGCGTGCATATGATACGAAATTTGATGGCGTGCATATGATATGCAGTTTTCACGTACATATGATACGCATCTACCCCACAACCCTAAACCTACCCATCGCGTAGCATATACACGCTAAAGTCCATTTTTGCGTATCAATACCACGAGTTTTGGTTTTTATTTGGCGTACTATTTATACGCACTTCCATGAGATCGGGTTGCTTGCCGACTTGTAAATGCACCATATGTTTTGTCTAAAAGTAGCGAAATTGTCGACGATATTTCCTGCGCCAAAAGTCCATTGTCTAGTTAGTAGAAGCGATGTGTGATGCACTTTCAAACTTTTTTTGCCCCTGTTGGTCAGTGAGGCGAATTCTCATGTCCAACTGAACCCAATGCATGTGGAAATGATCGCTCTCACGGGAAATGCATTGATTCCTATTGAAATGACGTTCAGAGATTAAACTTTTACATTTTTTTTTTTGCAAATCAGAGCAGGTGAGTATTTACTCGTGACGCAGTCAAATGTCCCGATGCGGGTCTGAACTCATGCATCCTGCAGGTTTGTCTCGATGAATGAGGGCTTTTCCGTTTCCATGGTAACAAGCAGCTCGCATCCTTCTCGCGTCTGCGTCTGCGTCTGTCTGCGTCTGCGTCTGTCTGCTCGTGTTCCGCATCTGGACTAGACTTTCATTTGGCAGGAAAAACACAGAAGGGCTTTGATACTTGGCATGAAGGCGGTGTGTTTTAAAGGAGATGCTGTCACGCCATTCTCTCATGGATGTCTTTTTCCTGTAGAGTCCTGCAGTATCTAACCTATTCTCACACAGCTCGGTCAGATGCGGTTAAAACTCACTTCTCCGTCAGATCACACACATATCTATAGAGAATATTAATTATAATGACTACAGACCGACGCGAATTTACACCTTCATTACTACTTTACTTATGAATCATTTCTCCATTGGGGTCATAGTTTTGTCGGATTAACGCTTTGTTCCCAAACTGTATCTTGACTCCACAAGCACGCTCCTCGATTTTCTTGGATGCATTGCTTTTTTGAAGTTTATTGCACGTGCAGTTTATTTACTGAGAATATAAAATCATTTCTGAACATCATATTTACCGGACTAACATGTGTGCGAGGCAAAATAAAATTTCCGTGAGATTTAAATGTGTGTGCAGCATGTAAATGATGTTCTTTATTCTCAGCATCAGCCTCCGAATTAATCTACGGTGTGATGATAGTTTAACTATTAACTGTAAAATGGGCTACTTATGTTACATATTTCGTAGTAATATATTGTATTGTTTTGATCGTATTATATTAAACGTCAGCCGTAATTTTGTAAATTGCGTTGATTAGATGGTTAGTGAAATAAAAAAGCAGAATCTATATTTTCTGTTATGACGCTTTGGTAAAAACATTACAGAAAAATATGTATAGTAATACTGGATTAGGAAAAACGGACAGAAAACGACTTACGACTTCGATAAACACTGTTTTAGCCTACTTTTATAAATCGAATTTATACTCACTTCACAACGAGTTTAAAAAAATAAATAAAGTCCAACAACATGATTTAGTAAACAACTGAATTAGTTCACATTTGATAATTTCCCGTCAACGCTAAATAAACCGGACTGGCTTATTAAATACATTAACCTCAGTTGTTAATTTACTGAAATATCGTAGCAGTAATATAATAAATTAGCAGCAGTTTAGGTTTTAGTTTTTGTCGTAAACGTTCACAATATATAATTGGCCTATATTTGTCCAAACCAGAATGTCAGTGCCACGATATCACAATAAAAAATCTACACATTTTAGAATTATTTAAAGTGACACTTCCTTATTTATGCAGTCCATTCGAGTCTCAGCTCCATCAAAAGAAAAATCGAATAAGAAGGGATTTTATGTGTTTATTGCTATCCGGTTTATTATTATTATTAGCCTATTATTATTATAACTAATGCCGTTGCTGTTAAATGGAAAATTAAAGCAGAGTCTTATGCATGTTCATATAGGCTAGATGATTCATATTTTTCTTGTACCGTTTTTAAGGCCTCATTCATTTTGAACGCCAAAAAAACTTGCTCAAATATGACGCGCATCGAAATTAGAAACATTTTAATCTTATTTTTAATTACTGACTTTAATTTTGTGGAATGAACGAAATCTGTTCAAACTAATATGCGGTGTAATTGTGTCAGTGCTTTTATTTATTACAATTAAAATTCTAAATCAGAAGATGCAAATAATTCACCATATAATAAATGACACAAAGCCGTCTCCAGCATAAAATAGGAGCAGTTCATTCCTCTGAAAGACTTCGCTACTTACTTGATCCGACGGCGAGTGACCCGAGAATAAAATCACACATAAACACGAGATTTACGGGATGTTACCGAACACTGAAAAATTATAGACTTGCTCTTAAAAGCGTTCAGTTTGGCAGATTCAGTTTTCGGTAATTGCGGTTAAATCCATCTTGCTTTTGCACAGTTTTTTTTTGCGTCTGTTCGTGCGGCAGACCTACTTTTTCATCAGCTCGCAGGAGCATTTAGTCGTCTCTGTCATTTTAAAGGGTCGCTGATATCTTTTCATTCAGGGCAGCATGTCTCCTCGGGTGTTTAAGGGTTAACGGGTTAGGCTTCTGGGTGTTCTGAAATACGTGGAAGCTCCACGCAGCCAATCAGAAGTTGGAAGCGCTGCCTGGCTGGCCAATGGGAGTGCGCCGAGGGTCAGCCGCAGGTGAAGCGGATTGTAGCGCTGTGTTCGTTCACACTCGTGTTCTGGCGACGTGATGCGCATGCAGAAAAACTCGCTTCACGCGGGCCGCGATGCGACCGATCTGCCGCCGCGGGGCTCAATCTCCATCTGATCCGGATCTGGAGCGCCTAACCCCGCTGCTTTATAATCAACAGTGACTTTTCCTGCTTAACATGGCTGTGCGCAGCAACTCTCTGATGCCGTTCTCCATTCAAGCCATTCTGAACCGAAAAGAGGAGTCTCGACATTTGAACGATCTGGATGTTTGTTTCTCAAAAAGCGCTTGTTGGAAAATCTTCGATGAAATGGATGCACCGGACAGAAGCGACGAGAGAGAGCACAAGAACTACGACTCGGACTCCGGGCTGAGCGAGGACAACGACAGTAAAGCGCAAACCGACGCAAAGCCCGAAAGAGACGCAGATTTAGCGGACGACACGGATCCGGAGTGCAGGGCGGCGGAGCGCTGCGTGTCCGGTGAGTAGAAAAGTTTGATTTGAGTTTGGAAATACTTGAGCTGCCTCCAGGGATAATTCAGCGAACCGATCAAGCACTTGACCAAAAAACGTTATCGGAGAAACTTATATAGCCTATGTAGTATCATGGTAACCATGCAAAAAGATGACCGTACCATATGCACGTTTTTTTTTTTTTTTTTTTTTTTTTAAAGTG